ACGTCTACACTCGCTGCTCGGCTCCAGCGCAGAGCTGGAGAATCACCTCACGTTGCCGGAGCGCAGGGTGTCAGCCCAAGACCCCTCCTCACAGTCAGACAGGTCACAGTGGCTGAAAAATACCGGTCACGAAACTCTTTGCTGGAGTAAGCGGTTGACGGCGCAAACGATCATAACCTTTACCAGGGTTGGGTACAGCGGCTGCCTGCGCACTCAGCCCCACTTATCAGAGTCCTGAAACAGCTACACAAGACCGCCCAAAACCTGGACATCTGCCCAGATGCATCTTGTTGAAAAAGAACTGAGCTTTTGTTAAAATTCGCTTTGCCTGGTAGAGGAAACTCCCAAATCTCCAACAGGCAAGGAGCATGGCAGAGCAAGGAAAGCGCTTCAAGGGATGAGAAACCGCTCAGCCAAAAGCAGCTCAACGTGCCGGGGGGCACCTCTGTGGGGGGCATGTTCTTCTCCCAGGTTAAGCAACAGCCGCAGCCGCTGCCAGGGGGTTGTGCAACGGGGTTCTTCTCCCAGGTAACGCCCCCGCCGCAGCCGCTGCCAGGGCGTTGTGCAAGGGGCGGGAGGGGAGCTGGCAGCCGCAGCCTGGGATGGAGCAGGCTCTGGCGATGCCCCATCTCCCACCGTCAAACCCCACTCCCACCAGTGCCGCCAAGTCCCACCGTGGCAAACCCCATCCTTCTGGGCAGGTCTTGGCGTGTCCCGACAGGGCATCGCTCGCATTTGCCGCCTCTCAGGCAGCAGTAAGGGTGCACCTCCGCCAAGAAGGGCCAAGACCTGCAAAGGGAAGACACTGGCGCTTCGACAGCCCTGTCCCAGGCTGCCTGGCAGAAGCCAGCCTGTTCCAGTGCACATGGGTGACAAAGGCTCTCCAGGCCCGTTGCGTGATGGGCACACCCCGCCCTGAACCACCCTCACTCCACCCAGCTCTGTTTTCCTTCTCCGTCATTCCAGAAGACAGCGGAGTGTGTCCACGGCCCCACCTGGGCTTTTGGCATGGAGAGCTCGCTCATGCTCCCCGGTGACATGGGGAGCACTCTGCTCACCCCGAGCCTCCCCACCACCCCGGCCCCCTCTGCCTGCGCCCTCCTTCCACGCCGAGACGAGCTCCTTCGGGGGCTCAGAAAGGTGAAGCTCACACTAAGCCTTTTCCATGCAGCTGGGCCCTCGGTGCGGATTTACAGCTGAACCTGTGCAACAAAAACAGAGCCCAAACACAGCCTTCGCCCAGCTGCCTCCCCCACCCCGCCAGCGGCCCGGCCCCCTCCGTGGCTTTTGGTGCTGTGAGTCCTGAATTAGCCCTCGCCCCAGCTACGGACCTTCCTCCTGCCCGGAGCTACCCAAGCCCCGCTCAGTGCCACCTGGGTCGGACTTGCGTTCCTCAGGCCATGAACACACCTGCAAACCTGGCCGGGCCATGCGGAGGAGCCGGGACGTCCATCAAGACCTGGGGGCTTTGAGAGCACCCTCACCCCCACCCAGCTCCTTGCTCCACCAGTGGCCACCCCTCCTGCCCTCACCCAGCGGGCTGCCGGCTCCGGGAGAGCTGCGGGAGGGAGTCCCTCTGGCAGAGAAGACATCGGGGCAGGGGAGAAGGCAGCGGGGCTGCAAAAACCGCAGGAGGGTTCGGTGTGGGGAGGACGTGCGGATCCACCAGCTCTGCCCTGGCAGTGCTGCCGGGCAGCTGGATAAATAACGCAAAGCGATCCCCCCACGCCAGAAAGCCACGCTGCTGTCTGCTGCTGGAGACCACTGCCCCAGCCACGCCAGAGCAGCCCCTGCTGAGAGACGACTCAAGGGACGGGTGTGTGCTTTCATGTCCAGTTTTATTAGTGTTGCATTAGTACCATAAAATAGTTGACGAGGTCGAGCACGTTGCAGTTTGTTCCAAAAAACGGCTATTTACATTTAATCTGTCTTCATTAAAAAAAAAACAAAAAAACCAAAAAACAAATTAGAACCCAAACAATACAACAATGAAACAGATGGACAACTCGAATCTACAAAGTGGTAACGTCCCCTCGTACGCCGCAGTCCGGCCAAGGCTGGCGGCACGCAGCCCCACCGCACGCGGTACCCCCGCTCGCACAGCACGGACGCAGCCGGGCAGGCAA